GAGACTACAGGATATTTAGACTCAATTAATCAACAAGCATTTGTTGAGTATGTATATGGAATCTATATGCTTATAATCTTACCTTCTTGCACTCTCCCATCTCTTTCCACTAACTTCTAAATGCCCAGCATGTTGCACAAGCCAATTATTCATGGCACCATTTTACCCCACTTGATATCACAGCATATTTTAATATATTAATAAATAGGCAATGGACTTCTGGTCAAGATGGCTGCCTGAATGGTAGGTAGCAGGCTGCCCAATTCCCCCACACTTATGCCAGCAAACACTAAAACAGTACAAGACTGAATAATGATCATGAACTCCAATGATAAATTATAGTATGTGACTTCTTTCTCTCAGAAATTCACAAAAAGTCAGCAGCCCACGAGCAAGAGAAAATGAGGCTGCTACAAAAGCTAGTGCTAGCACTAGCAAACAAACCTATACCTTACCAGTGGGACCAGAAAAGTCCAGAGATACTTGTAGCCTTCAGGGTTCTCTGTCCAGAGGGAGCAGGAGTGGAAGGATCCTTTAAGAAAGCTCCAGGGTGGTTTGGGTGCACACCTTGGGGAGCAAAGGCAATCAGCTCAGGCATCAAGGGCTTCTAAGTGCCTAGCATTCTGTCCTGATATGCCATAGAGAGCTTTGAAGTTCTAACTCTCTAAACCTTAAAGATCCTGGCTGAGTGTAACCCTGGGAGGTAGAAGTCAGCATAGAAGAACCCAGGGGGCCCAGAATGAGACTAAGGCCAACCATCCTCACCCCAAAAAATCCATCAGGGGGTATAGCCTGGACCTTTAACAAAGCCGCCAATTCAGGAACTAAAGCTAGACAAAAGTGAATCAGAAAAGTTATTGACCAATACCAAAATTAATGCAAATTTAGAGAATCTCCCAAAAGATAAGAATAACTGGAACAAATGCAAGCAGAGACTCAAAGGAAAAAACACATCTGGCTAAGTCACTCTTCTAATATGAAATGTGAAATCCTCAGTTTAGTATTTAAAGGCTTCTCTAATCAGTCTCTTACCTACCTTTCCATTGGCACATTGGATAGAATGCTAGACTTGGCTGAAGTCAATAAGCTAGGAAGACCTGAGTTCAAAACTGGCCTCAGACACATATTAGTTGTGTGCCCTTCAGAAAGTCACTTAGATTCTCTGTGCCTCAGTTCCCTCATCTGTAAAATGAGGATAATAATAGTACCCACCTCCCAGGGTTGTTGTGAGGATAAAATGAGATAGTATTTGTAAAGCATTTTTCAATCCATAAAATGCTATACAAATGCTAGCTATTATTATCATTATTTTCAGTCCATACTCTCCTTCATATTCTCTCTGATCCCAACTGGACTGCTAGTATTGCTTGCATTCATGCCTTTGTACAAAAGGTCTAATATGTACTCCCTTCTCACCTCCACCTCTCAGACTCTAGCTTCTGATGACAGCTCAGCTGCCATTTCCCATGTGAGACCTTTACCAATCCTTCCAGTTGTGAATGCTCTCTCCTTCTTGAAATTATTTTGTACTGGCGTATCTGTGTACTTGTTATATTCCTGTCCCCCCAAATAAAATATGAATTCCTTGAGGATAGGAACTATTTTGTTTTTCATCTTTATAGTCTCAGAACCTTGCACAGTGCCTTGAATATAGCAGATGCTTAATAACTTTTTCAATATCAATACTTCCCAAATTAATCTATAAATTTAATATTATACTGATCAAAATACTAACAGTATGATTATATAATTGGACAAAATGACAAAAAAAATTTATGGAATTGTTGGGGTGCTTGGGTGCTTGTACTTGGACCCCAATTTCTGCCTAGCCTCAGAAACACTGTCCCTTGATAATCATTTGGGATCAATCAGGCCCCAATGAGGGACAAAAACCTAAATTAATCTTTTTCTCTCTGAGTGACTAAAAACACCCCTTCCTGTGTCAGCAAATTCCAGGACCAGACAGAGCTGATCAGTATTCTTCCTGTTTGTTATCACTGGGCCCAGGATGTCTGGGACCAGATACTCTCTTGAATAATGGGATTTTTCTTATCTTGAGTTTCAATTGAGAACTGACCACTCCTTAACCACTCCCTAATCCTGCCCTGAATCACCTAGTTAGCATATTTGACACATGTTTTATTGCATTTTATTCTATATAAACTTTACCTGTACCTCTCTAAGGTTGCAGGATCCTTTAAGAATCCTTGCCCACTGAAAAGCGTAATAATAAATCTTTGCCACTTTGAATTAAAGAATGCTTGAGTCTGTGAATTCATTGCAGATGACCCGTCCTGTAGTCCTGTCTTTGAGGGGTCACAACCTCTCAACCTCTCAGCCCACAACAGAATGACAAAAACATTAAGAATATCAAACTAAATTATAAAAAATATTTCACCTCCCACTCTGCAAATGGGCAAAGATAAAAAAAAAAGATAGGAATAGTTAATGTTGGAGAGGCTGTGAGAATATAGGCATACAATTGCATTGTTGGTGAAACTGAAAAGTAGTACAATTATTTTAGAAAGCAATCTGGATTTATGCAAATAAGTGATTAAAATGTTCACATCCTTTGACTCAGAGATTCCACTCCTCAGGCTTATACCTCAAGGAGTCCATTGATAAGAAGAAAGTCTCCAGATACATAAAAATATTTATAGCACTTTTGCTGTTAGCAAAGAATTGGAAGCAAAGTAGATGCTCGTCAAGTGGGGAATAGCTAAACAAATTTTGGTACACGCAAATAAAACAACATGGAAAGATTGGTATGAACGGATGCGGAGTGAAGTAATCAGAGCCAAGAAAACAATATATACAATGATTGTAACAATATAAATGCAAAGAACAACTATAAAAAATCAGAAGTGAAAGCTTAGCACAGTGCCTGGCACAGAGCAGACACTAGATTAATGCTTACTCCTTTTTGCCTTATTCCCCACCTAGAAATATTCCCTAAGTTTACTGAAAGAAAAAAAAATACCTATCTATACAAAAATATTCCTGGCAGTATTATTTGTAATATCAAACAATTATAAACAAGCTAGGTATTCATTGGTTAGCAAATGGCAAAATAAATTATGGCTATATTAATGAAATGGAATGTTATAGTGCCAAAATTAAATGATAAATTTGAGGGACTCAAAGAAATATGGGAAGACTCATATTAAGTGATACAGAATGAAAACACACATATACACACACAGTGTCTACAACTATGTAGTTAAAGACAATAATAACAACAACAAATCCAGGGTTATACACAGTGAAGAAGTTTTTAAAAATCATGAAAAAACAGGATGCTATGGGTACTACTATGTAAAAAGCAATGTAGAGTTTTTTTTTAAGGGTTTGGGTTTATAATTTATAAGCAGCAAAAATTTACGAACACATAAAGTTTATAATTTCCATTGTGGAGACTTTGTCTTACATGGTATTTTTTATTTTTCTCTTCTTTATGTAGTTGAATATCTATACTTATGCACAGAAATAAAAATAAAATTTATATTTTTTCCCAAAAGCAAGGAGTCCAAGAAATAGTGACTGATCTACCATATTGGAGATACATACATACACACACACATACACACACACACACACACACACACACACACAACATACATACACAGATGTATATATGTATATACATATATTCATATAGGTGTCTATATACATGCCTTTTATAAGTTGATAAACAGTTGCTGAATAATGATAATTCCTCTGTGTATGTGTTTGTGTGTGTAGTACTTTTCAGTTTATTTCATTTGATCCTCATAGCTTTACTGTGAGGTAGGAAGTACAGAGATTATGCTCATGTTCTAGATGAGGAACTCAAGATCAGAATGGATAAGTAATTTGCATAGCACCAGGACTGGAATGAATAAAAGAATGCATTGTCTAAAAGTACATATAATGTACTTAGCTGTTTGTGAGTTTCCAATATATTCAACCTTTACCACTCCATCATGTACTCTCTATGAAATCAGGGAAGTTGGAAATGTATCAAATCAAATATATTTTCAATTTCAGTCTTTACTGGCCATGTAAGTCATTTGGAAGTCAAAAATCACAAACTCACCTAGTTCGTCAAGTCCAACCCCTTCATTGTATGGCTAAGGAAGCAGAAACTAGATTACAGATCTAGAGCTCAGAGGCAATCAAGCCCAATCCCCCTTACTTTATAGATGAAGAAACTGAAACCTGAGGAAGGTGGAAGTGGTAGGTGACTTGCCCAATGTCACACGGGTAGTAAGTTTAGATTTGAAATCAGTTCCTCTAATTCATACATGTATGTATGTATGTGTGTGTGTATATATATATATATACACACACACACACACACACACACACACACACACACACACACACATATATATATGCCTTCTTAAAACAATCCAGCTAATAATGAAATTGTATTTGTCACTCAATTCGTATGTAATCTTGGGCTAACTTCCTTTGTCAGAGCATCAAAACCCAAATTTTAGCCATAGCTCTTACATAAATACTTCTCATGAACAAAATCTCTTTAATCAAAATTACACTAAACAGGCAAGAAAATGGAATGTCAACGTAGCAATTTCCTTAACTTCAAAAATTTTTCTGGAGGCTGACTTTGAACATGGGTGCATTTAGAATCAGGTTAGCCATAAACATTTATACTCTAAAAGGACACCTGTGTTTAGTGTAAAAGAAGTCTCTGTGGATTAGAAGTCTTACCTAGCAGGTCACTGTTTCTTGTTTCTTCCATTTCAGACCCCGTCTGTAAAGTTTTTCTTCTAGGTTTAAAGCCAGTTGACTGAAAGCATTTTCTAAACAACTGTGAAAACACATTTATTTTCTTGAATTTTTGTAAGTAAATCAGCAAAACACAGATAATTATGCCATAAAATAAACCAATAATATATAAACATACACAGAAGTGACAAGGTATAATAGTAATGTAACATATAATGCATATTGAACATTTGTAGAATTTGGCCATTTACAATGTACATTTCATCTAGTATTTTCCTCGATTCACATGACAACCCTATAAGAGAGGAGGAAGAAAAACAGCATGGTATAGTGGAAAAAGGGCTGGATTTGGAGTCCAAGGATCTACATTCAAATCATGGCTCTGATACTTATCATCAACATGCCCTTGGGTAAGTCATTCACTTAATTTCTTTGGACTTCAGCTCCTCATTTGTAAAATGACCTTCAAAGTTCCCTTCTAGTTCTAAAACTATGATTATATGATCCATGTTTGACAAATAATAAAAACTGAGGCTCAGAGACAATAAGCAACTAACAGAAGGTCACACAGATAGGGGAGACAGGACTTGAACCCAAGTTTTCTTACTGCAAGACAGGTGTTCCCCCCCCCAATGAACTATGCATCTAGGCTAGTCTCTTAATTATTTTAATTCTATTTATTCAAACTGTAAAATTTTGAAAAAGGATGTGTAACAGCTCTGTTAGTGATATATAATGTAAATGTTATATCAGTATAAAAAGACGGAAATGTTTACCATTTTAAGCTCAGGATTAATTAGAAACTGGGTAGCACTTGACAGAAGTGTATCTACTCCTCCTGTCTCCTTCCACATCATCAAACGCCTAGTAGGGGGTGCAAGTTCCAACACAGTCAGTGTGTCCATGAAGTTAATAAGTTGTTTATGCATGGTGTTGCTGCTGATCTCCTTCACCGGATCAATAAGTAGCTTCTTCTTACGTCTGCTTTTCCTTCCCTGTGCAATATCTAGGAAATATCCACATATTTGACTAGTTAAGCTCCTTACTATAATGGTCTCTGAGGGATTTCATAGCAACAGAATATATTATGCTGGATTTTTCCTTTCCTGGGTCTCAAGAGTACACTAATGCATCCTGCAGAATTTCATGGAGGAGGAAATGCCACCCGTATCCTCCTCCTGATTTCCTGTCCAGTTCAGGTGGAGATTCACTTAGTGGCCAGTAGTCCTTAAATAACTTACTTTGACAAGTATCTTTCAAAGGTTCTTCAGAGCATCAGTGAGAGCACACACCAGAGACAGATAGACAGACAGACACACATACACACACACACACACACACACATACACACACACACACACACACACATACACACACACACAGAGTTGCTTCTGGTCCCAACCATGGTACATGTGGTGGCTACTCTCATAAGTTATAGTTGTGAGTAACAGAAGGATGCCATGGGGGGAGAGGGACAATATTGCTTACTTTTGTAACAAACTCCTGGAAGTAGAAGAAATTTCCAGAGCCTATATATTATCTAGTTCATTTTGTCACTTCTATACCAGCAGTTCTGTGAGAAATGAAAGAGTTAAGTTTCCACATAAGTAGATAAGAAATCAGCACAGACAAGCTAACTTCTCTGTGGGGGGGGGGAGTGATAACACAATTCTAGGCACATAATGTATGTTACGGGTGGGGCATATAAAGAAGATTGTAATCCAGAAGGATTAGGACCAATCCTGATCCAGAAGGGAGGAGTTAGGCAATTACTAACTATAAAGATTGCTCTGGCTTCTTTTACCCCGTGCATTTCTCTTCTTCCAAGGAAGTGCATCCGCTTATGCCGAGAATTGAAATGACGCACTTCAACCTCTTTAATAAAAAGTCTTTGAGACACCAGTCTTCAGAACTGAGTCTGGGGTCATCTTTATAACAGTTCCCAAACTAATTTGGCTACAGATCCTTTTGGATGGAACTCATAATGCTAATCCAGGGAATTTGGGAGGTATAGAATTTCCACTGGGATAACAGGGGTCAGAGAAATTTTGGAACAAAATAGACTTTTTCATTCAGAAAAATTGTCATATATATTAAGTATTTTTTACATATACACTAGAATTTTATCACAGAACCCACATTAATAATTTTTCATAGAACATCAGTACTTTATGGAAGAGTTTAGGAAACGGTGGTTCAGGCAGAAATGTCTAAACCAGGGGTGGGGAACCAGCGGTCTCTAGGCCATAGGTGGCCCTCTAGGTCCTCAAGCCCACAGGTTGCCCACGCAAACTATCTCCCAAATAGAATACCAATCTAACTTTTAAAGCACTTTAGAGAAAGGAATTCCACAACTTTTCCTTACAATTCATTCTAGCGTCTGATAGGCCTCACTAGAGGAGGTTTCTTTGTTTTATTTGTTAACTCCCACCAACAATTTAAGCCCATTTTCTCTTATTTTGTTATACCCCTCCACCAAATTCCTACACAAATCTGAAGATTAGCATTGTCATTTTGTCTCTTCCATGCCAAGCTTTTGCTTTAGGGTAAGGGAGTCTAATGTCTTTCACCTTAGTCTTGAGCATTTCCTTATAGATCTTTTCCAAAGATTTCATCAACGAGCCACCTTTAAATTTTACACACCACCAAACTGGATATAGAGTTTAATAAGTGCTGAATATAACGGATGCATTGTTCGTGGTTCCTTCATTACACCCCTACTGTAGTATAAATCCTGTTATTGTACTGACTCCTTGCCATACTTCATATGGTGTTCAAACACATTATCATACTCCACAGTATTCCAGATATGATTATGTTCTAAGTTTTAATACCTTTATATTCAAGAAACAAAAACAAAAAATGACTCTGACCTTTAGGATCAATTGGATCGAGGGTAAATTCCTCTTCTTCATCTGTCATTAACATAGTTCCATTCATTTGCTGACTGTCAGATGGATACAAAGACTTGGAACTGCTTGCTTCTCCTATTGAACACATAATGATAGTACCATGAAAACAAATCTATCACAAAGAAGTAGTGTTGCAAATTATAAGATAATACAGGAACTAAGTTCAATAGTAACCTTATACATAAGTTAAAAACAGTAGACACATACTATAAATTGTTCACTAATAATTACGGATCCATAAGGATATATTGATGCATAACTTCCCTTCTGTCCAAATTTCTATCCCAGGGTCAAAAGCAAATTTAATATCGAAAAGTGAAAAGAGTCAGAATTGGAGTTAATCATACCTGTAATACTTATATGCTCATTAAAGAAGTGAAAAATTGTTACGTGAGTTAAGTCTATATTCATTTCAAATGGGAAAATACTAATAATTAAGTAACTATGTAGTTACATTCTAAAACACTATTATAAACTGTATGTACATATGCATACTTATATATAATATGTATTTTGCCACTTAGTCCAAAAATACTTTTCAGCCCTGGAAACTCATAAAGACCATCTGCTAATGTGTAGAGGGGCTGCAATCTAAACTTCTATCCATGCTGATAAAATCATAGGTCCCTGAAGTATCCAAATAGGTCAACACAAATAATTTCAAGAGCACAGCACTTTGGCAAATCACCTAAATGTGCTTTCATAACTAATCTTGTATAGCCACTCCTTTTCCCAAGCAGCAAGATTTCAGTGTTGTGCCATCTCAGAACTCAAACCACCACCCTATTTTCCTAGAACCCTCGTACTTGAAGGTATTCTGACCTCACTTAACCTGGTCCCTTACTCCTAATATCTCTGTATTATAGTACCATATAAACTTAGTGCTTATGATACTTAATTTGAATGTTCATTTTTTCAGGAAGTACATAAAGGCAAATATGAACTCACCAATTATTGACTCAGGCGACTCAAGAAGCTGAAGAGGCAAAGAAATGTCTTTGTCCAAATTGAAGTCTTCCAACAGGATATTGTGGTCATCTTGTAACAGATTGTCTTAAAAATATAAGATGTAACTTTATTATGGAAAGTTTAAAAAGCATACTCATGAAAATAAAAGTTGAATAAAGTATGTTGGATATAATTTTGACATTTGGTTGATTTAGTTTTATGTCACTTGTATCACTGGTTTTATATCATTTGTAAAACTAAAACTGTATGATGTATAATCAAATTTAATCAGATTTAGGCCAATTGTGATGCTAATAAATTTTATTTTACCATAGTTAACATTGTAGTTCAGCAAACTATTCCTAATATTACTTGACATTCCATTGACTTAAATTCTGTATTTGCTGGCAATTGTGCACATCTATATTACTATCCAAAAAAAGATTAAGTTATATCCAATAGAGTTTTAGTATTAAATATATTTTATCAAATTCTAATTTTTGGAAAACCAGTAACTTTTATTTGGTATATACACATTCTGTGATCACATACAGTATCTCTCTAATAATAAAAACCTCAAATTTATGTTGATTTATAATTTTTGAAATTTTTTTTCATCACAAAAGCTTTGCAGGGTAGACAATATAAGTCATGTTTTCCATTTTATAGATGACAAAACTGAGACTTAGAGGGGCTAATGACAGGTTCATCACACATAGAGCTGGCAAGAATTTCAGAAATCAGCTAGTCCAACCCCTTCATTCTATAAAAAAAGGAAATGGGACTAGAAAGATGAAAAGACTCTTAAATATTTCTAAAGCAAAGGTCTGAGCATGTCATTCCCCTTCTCAATGAATTCAGCAAATTCTAATGGATTCCTAAGACCTCTGGGTTCAGATACAAACCATTGTCTTTGGTGTTTAGAACTCTTCATTACCTGGCTCCATTCTATCTTTCCATATTTATTATACAATACTCCCCTTTGAGCCCTTTGAGTCAGCCAAACTAGCCTTGTTGCAGTTTTTAATACACGACATTCCATCTCCCATGTCTAGGCCTTTAAACAGACTGTCATCCGATGCCCGGAATGTACTTCTTCCTCACCTCTGCCTTTTAGAACTCCTTTGTTGTTGTTGTTCAGTCATGTCTAATTCTTCATGATCCCTTTTGGAGTTTTCTTGGCAAAGATAATGTAGTAGTTTGCCATTTCCTTCTCCAGCTCATTTTACAGATAAGGAAACTAAGGCAAATAGGGTTAGGTGACTTGCCCAGTATCACACCGCTAGCAAGTATCTGAAGCTGGATTTGAGCTCATGAAGATGAGTCTTCCTGACTCTAGGCCCAACATTCTATCCACTGTGCTACCTAGCTGCTCAGTTAGTCTCTACTTGTTTTTAGGACAAAATCTACTTTCTGAAAGTTTCCATCTCAAGAAATGTTTACTGAACAACTAAATAAACTTCAGCTCTGCTATAATATTATCATTAAAAAAAATTTTTTTTAGGCAATTGGGGTTAAGTGACTTGCCCAGGGTCACACAGTTAGTAAGTGTCAAGTGTTTGGTCTGAGGCTGGATTTGAACTCAGGTCCTCCTAACTTCAGGGCCGGTGCTCTGTCCACTGTGCCACCTAACTGCCCCTAGCTCTGCTATGATACACACTGTTCACAAGGTTCATGCCACAGAATTATTAGAGGTGGAAAGAGTTAAGAAAGATTCTTTAGGTATGCTGAGTGACAGAGGTAGTATGGTATAGTGATGGGAGCACAGTCATCTGTATTATCTCAGTAGCTTCCTGATTGATCTTTCAGCTTCTAGTATGTCCCAAATTCAATCGATCCTCCATGAAGCCTACAAATAATATTCCTGAAGTATAGGGCTATGCCATGTCCCTGTTTAAGAATCTTCAGTGGCTCCCGATAGCCTCCAAGACAAAATACAAACTCCTCAGTTTTGCACAAACTGGTTCCAGCTAATCTTTCCAGACTTATGTTTCATTACTCAATCAATCAATCTACGTAGCAGATATATGTGGCAATCTATGTCACATACTATGTGGCAGGCACTGTTCTAGGTGCTGGGGATACAAGTACAAAGAATAAAGCAATTCCTACTCACAAGGCACTTACATTCTGATGGGGAAACAAGAAGTATAAATGTGTGTATGTATGTGTATATATGTTTATATATATATATATGTGTAGAATAAATATAAAATTAAGAAATTAAAATATATACCAATTCGTTAATTAAATATAAGGTAGTTTGAGAGGAAGAATATTAGCCATTTGAGGGAATTAAGAAAGGCTCCAAGTAGATGGTATCTGAGCTGTACCTTAAAGGAAGGGCAGGCTTGGATATGTAGATGTGGGAGTCACCTGCACAGAGAAAACAACTTTATCCATTGGAGCCAATGAGATCACCAGGTCAGAGAAGAGGGTTCATGGAAGAGCCTTAGGGTAACTCACAGTTAGACAATAAAACACATAATATGATTAGACAAAGGAAACTGAGGAAATAGCCAGACAGGTAGAAGAACTAAGAGAGAGCAAAAAACAAAACAAAACAAAAAAAAAAACACCTAGACAGAGTGTCTAGATGAAGAGGGTGTTCAGTAGTGTCAAATATTATAGACAAGAAAGGTGAATACTGAGAAAAGGCCCTTGTATCTGGCAATTAAAAGATTTTAGGACACAGTAGTTTTGGTTGAGTGATGGGGTCAGAAACTAGATTGAAAAGAGCTAAGAAGAGAGAAAGGAAGTGGAAGCAGAACAAAGAGAAAACTTTTTTTTAGGAGTTTGGCTATTAAAGGGAGAAAAATGATGACAGATTGAGAGGGTAGTAGGATGGAGTGAGGAATTTTTAAAAATGCAAAGAGAATCCTTAAATTCTTCTCAATTTACTGTCTCCTTTCCTGCAACCTACAAACACAACAGATAAGATAACAAATACTTACAACCCAACAAACCTGCTACCAGGGTGAGTTTGTAAATTACAAGAAAGGAGCCAGTATATTGGAGAAAAGGGATAATTGTGGGAGAATTCTGTCAGGGGAGATGAAAGGGGATAAGATCAAGGATACAACTAGAGGGCTTTGGTGAGGAGCAGTATCATGTCTTCATTAGAAACCAAAGTAACAGAAGAGAGAATGGGAAGTTTCAGGAATATCTTTGAAAATTCAACATAATCTATAACTTCATTAGCCAAAATACCTTTAAAAATGAAACACTTTATTTTCAGTTTAGCTTTAAGACATACCAATCATATCCCCGGCAGCTCCTTCATCCCCAAATCCATCTCCACTGACATACAATACAGATTTTTCTTCAAGGAGACTTGCAAAACTGCATCCAGCCAAAATCGTACTGTTATGTGTCAATATGTTGTCATCAAAGAAGCTTTGTCTCCTAAGTAGTTCAGATTCCTCACCTAAAGTAATGATTAATGAAGACAAGTAAGACCTGAGATATGCCTATAACTTCAAAAATGTACAAATAATGCAAGTATATTAGGCCCATAATGAAAATAGAAGAATTTGATTCAATTTCAATTGACATTAACCAGGAAACTAAAACATGGAGTGTCACTCAAGGTATTGAGTCTTTTATGCTACTTAAGACACAATGCTTATCTGCTGTAAAGAAAAAGAAGAGTTAAATAAAGTAACTTATTACCCAAAGAAATATTTGTTGCTTTGGATCTGATAAAAAAAAATAACAATATTACATATGTAAACAAAGACTAAGCAGATTTTCCAGTCTCACTAAATGAATATTATAACTTTGCCCATGGGCACTTATGAGACATCAATAACTAAGTAGTAACTCAGCAAGGAAAACAGAAAGCTAAACTGTGAGGCAGGATAGGCAGTAGTAGAGTCAATAGCCCTAAGTAGGATACTAATGTTTCTTCTACTTAGAGACTTCCTGCAGCCACCACATAAAAACAGGAGAAAGGAAGGTTCATACTGCTGGTGTTTGAAACTAACCGTAATCATACTTCCTATATAATACATCAAAGTATTTACAGAAGGAAAATGGAAGGTGGTATCTTATCATAGCAAAGCAATGTAATTGCAAGGGTCAGATGTCGCTGGATGCTTTTCCTTTTGTGTGAGTATATTATCTCTGGACTATTCCAAGGGTATTCTCCTGGAGGAGAATGCCAGGTAACAAATTGTGTCTTTGGTTACATTGCAAAGCTTCCTCAGGTCCTAGACCCAGAGAACACCAAAGGGACTTGACTACGATGAATTTGTGTCAGAAAATCAGCAAAGGTCGTGTTCTTGATAATACTCTCTAAGTTTTTCCCTCTTCCTTATTTTCTGTCAGTGCCAGATTTTAGGCAACTGTGATTGTCTGATACCAAGGGGAAAATCTGCCATGGTTTAACAATAGTATTTGTAGGATTCTATGAAATAATGGGATATTTTGGTAATGAGAAATTGCTTATATTAATTTGCATGGTAAGTGATCATAAATTCATATATTTAGAGCTGGAAAGGCCCTTCAAGGTCATTTCGTCCAAACTCTACAATTTATAGATTAGGAAACTGAGGCTACAAGAATGATTTGCCTAAGTAACAAACCTGAGTCCAGAGTTACCCCACATTCCACTCTAAGGTTCTGTATCTCCACACCCTCCTTAATCCAAGGAAGGAGCTATGCCCAGTTGGAGGTGGTGGGCCATGTCCCAGCAGGTATCAGTAGCCATTTTTGATTAGCTGAGTGTTTAGCATGACTTTTAAAAATTAACCAGTTGGTTAAATCCAGAGACAAGAAGTTGGGAAGAGTCAAAGCCAAGGTCTTTGGAAAAGGAATTTTATATTCCTAGGTTGTGTGGTTTATCTTTCATTCTTGAAGAGGACCATTATATCAGGGAGATGATGACATGACTTGCAATTGACTTTGATTTGAGTGAGATAAGGCTGTGCAAAGTCACCAGCTTCACTTTCTCCTTGAGAACCATCTGGGTCCAGTGATCAGGGCAACTGGAGATGGCCCAGGATACAGTGGGACACCTTGGCCCTTTTAAGTTAAGATCTTTTCAGGTTCTCACTTTGAGTGAGGTAACACCCATTCAATGAATAGGCCTCTTTAAGCAGTGAGTCAAGGGATGGTCCCTTTAATAAAAAAAAAAAATCAAACTGGGACAGGAAGACCCTCAAGGTTACTGGCCAAAAGAGAAACCATTACTATTTA